AAAGTAACTTAACTACATATATATATATATATATATATATATATATATATCGCATGTAGACACACACGCACAACTCCATACAAGCATGGTTCAGAGCATTCCCGTATCACCTACCTCCAGCAACAAGAAGTGGGGTACACGCCACAATAACAAGCGTTAGCTTCCATCCATAGATGAACCCGATTATAAAGCCTCCCAAGCACATGCTCATATATTGCAGAAATGACCCGACTTTGTCACCAATGGCACTCTCAATCTTCACCACATCACCGGCTACGCGCGCAGTGAGCTCGCCCGAGTCGATGGAATCGTACCATGCCATGTCTGCAGCAGTAGATAAGCAAGTGTGTCACGAGTGAGTTGCGTGTAAGCATACGAACGTACGAACGCGCTCGTCGAGTATATACACGTGATAGCAATTCTCAGTGGTGCTGCAGGCGCCGTTGACAAATCGAGTGTGTATCAACGGATGAAGGGACGACAATGGTACGTACCTTGGCTGACGATGGACTTGAAGTAGAGGTTGCGAATCCGTCTAGCCTGGCGGGAGGCAGATAACATAAACAGACCTACTTGTGCGTACGAGGTGAAGAATGCGATTGCTCCGAACCAACAAAACTTGTAGACGGCGGGCATGAAGGCGGTCTGAAGGCTGTCTCCGGCATATGCTGTGTGTTTGTGCGTGCAGGTTTGTATGTAGGTCGTGTGTGAGGCATACACTTGTTGGACTCGGGTTGTGTATTTCACGGGTAACCTGGAAACGAAGACGTGCATGATACAAAGCTGAACGAACCACCAGACATTGCCATTGGATACATCTCACACGAGTCAGCCCAGAGCAACGCGAACGTGGCCGAAATTCGTTCTACATTCATTACGCTCGCAGAGCAAGAAGACCTCCTACAGCGACAAGAGGGGTCGAGCGTACCTCCAAACTTGCGTACTCCCACAATGAGTGCAATATACACAGTGAGTGCAAACAGTCAACAACATGAATACGTGACCACAAACTGATACTCAACACAACCACACATAGTGGCTCATATTCAGAGATGTGAGCAAAATAATAATCCACGGCAGCGGGAGCGGGATCTAGCACACTACATTGTATATATCGTGCACAATTCAATGTTCAAGTCGATAGGCGCTACTTACGATCGTAACTGTCGAAGATATCGCCGAAGACTGTAGCAAACAAAGCCATCATTGCACCATGGATGCACGAGCTTATGATTGCCACAGAGATCATAGCCATATCATATTTGTCGGCGAACTTGAAGAGCTGGAAAAATGGCTGCAGGCGAGAAGTTGATTGGATTAGAATAGCACTATACAGGCATGCTCGTGCGAGAGTAAGTTTCGATATTCATTGACATTCACCAGTACAGATTTAGAATAACATAGTTGTATTGCGGTGTTGCAATCAGGAGACGGGTTTTCTGACTCGTGGTTTCTGATCCGACAAGGGGGACATACAGCATGAAGAGTGCTTAAACCAAAAACGTAAACTAACCCCAAAACCGTGAACTTTTTTAGATGGTTTAAAACGCTATCATAACCTCGGTGGGTGCGAATACTGCAATAATAGACTCGGCTATTACATACCACGGACGGAAGCTTGGGCTTTTCTTCCTCTTTGCTACTGCTTTCAGTGTCTTCTTCGATGTCCAGTTCATGCTTGTCTTGTATGCCAATACTAGATCGAGATTCTGATAGAAAGCAATCCAAGTATGAAATGTGAATCAGAATAATATAGACTAGAGCAATGAGTACACACATGGGGGACGTTCAAGGGGTAACTAAGTTCAGTACGAAACATCGCCCCAACCTAGATAGTCAATGTATAGGTGTATTATGTACAATCGAGATCTATTGCAGTGTATTGGTTTCCAACCTTCTTGAATCCGACACACGTCACTAGCTATTGAATCGTTACTCATCTGAATACTGAATTAATACATTCTAATGATCACTTAAAGGCGTTTTTGAATATCAACCACCGAATTACTACACATCCGTACCTTTGCCGTCAGCCAAATGACTTGTGCTATCTACTCCGTCATTCATCTGGAATTATTGAATCGATATTATGTCAATAGTTGAACGGTGGACAAACAAAAATATGAGTTACATTCGATCTTACAAATGGCAAATGGTTATTGTCTCAGATATATAATTACCCCGTGGCCCTTGTCTACAACAGTGAAGCTCCGACACTATCATGGATGGCAACAGTTATATATATATATATATATAAATGTATCTGCTTGGTACATAAATATATACATATTAATATATGTATATATATATATATATATATATATATATATATTATAAATAAAACCGCAATATGTTTATGTGTGTGTGTGCGTGAGTGAGTGTGTATGTGTATGTGTATGTACATGTATATTTATATGTGTATGTATATACATGTAAATATGTATTTATATACAAGTATATCTATGTATGTACATGTACGCAGAAGTATATGCACATGCATTTATATATATATATATTTATATCTGCATATACATATTTATATATATATAAATATATATATATATTTAAATATATATATATATATCTTCGTGTGCACGTATTATATATGTATATGTGTGTGCATAAGCATATGGATATGCAATTCCTGGGTACATACATATACAATCTACTATATATATATATATATATATTTGTGTGTGTGCGTGCGTGTGTGTGCTGTATATATGTGTACAAATATGTATGTATATATGTATATGTAGATAGATGTGTACGTGTATGTGTTTGTAATATGCACGTGCATGTGTCTATTATTTGCATGTGTATGTGTTATATATATATATATATATATATATACATGTATATGTGTGTGTGTGCGTGTGTGTGTGTATGTGTGCGTGTGTGTGTGTGTATG